CCTATATATACATTGACAAATCCACTAACACCAATTATTGCATTTGGATCCCAGTTCTTGGTTGCCTCCTGCAACTCTACTAAATAAAAGTATAGGCCTAATTTGGAAGTAGACGAGAAGAATTGGCTTTTACAAGAACCTAAAGAAGTCTTGATGTTTGACATGGAGCTCGTGTCTCCAGTATGGAGTGGAAGTAACCAAGACGAAAAGCTATGATTTTGCCGCCAATCTTGTGGCCCTTTTTGCCACTTAACAGCTATTACACCTAAACCGACAAATGTTCCAAACATTATTGCAAATCCAACAGCAGCCACTATACCACGGCCTGGCCCATCAGCCGACTTCCCATCAACACCATATTCTCCATCCAGGCTACTAACCGAATTGTTAATTCTAAAAACCTCAAGACCATTGAGAAGTGCATTTCTTGCACCAGTATTTTCATTCATCGGTCCAAACTGAACAGTCATTGGGTTGGCATTGTCCACCATAGAAGAATTCATCACAAAATCCATATAATAAGCTGCCGTCAAGCCACCTGCCACGGTGGTCAAGTCCAGCCCGGTAATAGCAGGCTTTCCATTAATAGAGATCATTTATAGATTTGCTCACGATATCAGCGAAATGCAAACGAACCAGATACGTGAATGAAGTGTCAACGTTCATTCTCCAAGTAATATTAAAATTAAGGACTAGAACATTGGCATCTGTCATTTCAGTGGAGGATGCATAAACCACCGGTGGAGCAATTAAGGGAGACTCCCCCTCGGGATATGTAATAATACTCAGCGAAACAGAAACATTAGAGGCAGTAACACTTGGATCAATGTATGAATGATCAAATTCCCAGGTTCTTTCAAGGAAACAAATTCTATCCCATTAAAATAAGCCACACTGTCTGTATTAGGTTGGAATGCTACATAATGCCTCTCTATTGTCACATTGGCAAGGTACTCCCTCATAAACCAGCTCGTGTTTCCAGTGTTTTCAAATTCTTGGATTAGTACCAAATCAATCGTCTTAATTAAAAGCTGAGGAAGATGAAGATATCTTTCACTACTTAATTTGATCATTACAAACATACCATATACACAGTAAGAAGATTCTAGAATTGAGCTAAACAAACTCTAACCAATTGCAAAATAGCTGGCTAACATAATTGATTCCAATTCCTAAAAATTAGGACGTAGCCTGTGCTAATGTCTGCTGAAATCAAACCATGCACCAGCAGCTAGTGAATTCTAACTCCCCCCTCAAGGTAGAGTATGTTCAAGTACTCCAAGCTTGTCTCTAAGCATATGGAATCTTGACGGTGATATTGGCTTAGTCAGCAAGTCTGCTGTTTGATCTGATGAGGGAATGTAGTGTATTTTTAGCTGATTTTCAAGTACCTTATCCCTTACAAAGTGTGCATCCAACTCTATATGTTTTGTACGTGCATGGTATACAGGATTAGAGGCTGGGGCACTTGCACTTAGATTATCACACCAAATAACAGGAACTGAATGCTGTAGAATTCCCAATTCATTCAACAATGACTAGATCCAAGTTATCTCTGCGGTGCATTGGGCTAATGCTCTGTACTTGGCCTCTATGCTGGACCTGGATACCACATGCTGTTTCTTGGAGCACCATGACACCAATTTGTCACCAATATACACACAATATCCGCCAGTAGATCTCCTATCATCTGGACAAAAAGCCAAGTCAGTGTCTATGAAGGCTGTGATGTCCAAGCTGTCATTTCTTTGAATGGTTAGTCCAAAGTTCAATATGCCTTGCAGGTATCTGAATACCCTCTTGAGAGCATTCCAATGAACATCCGTTGGAGTCTGAAGAAACTGGCTTAACCTATTTACAGCATAGGTTAAGTGTCGTCTAGTGTGGATTAGATATTGTAGACCACCTACATCATTTCTATATAGAGTAGGATATTCCATTACTCTCCCCTCATCTTTGGAAATCGGTCTCCCCACAGCCATATGTGTTAGGCTAGGCTTTAAGTTCTCATAGCCATACCTTTTTAGCATATCAATGGCATATCTAGTTTGTCTC